GGCTGCTGCCTGCAGTGCTTAGGATGGAGGTTATCCACTTCAGGAAAGCTGTGTGTACGCAAGGATAGTAGCATTTTCAGAACCACTTTTGCTATGAATTCGATGCTAGATAACATTGATGGTGTGGGGACAGAAGCAAGTATAATGTTTGAGGCTAGTACCCCTTGGAAAGTGGGCCAGTACGGTGCACGTGAGGCGTTGTCCACCTTTTTTATTCTGTGTGTATACTCACCGACCGTGATGAGTAGCGCGATTTCACGCTGCAACTTTCGAAGTGCATTCATGTGTCTGTAAAGAAGCTTGTGCTTCGAGCGGAATTGTTTAGCTAACTCCAGTAGTTGTGATAACATTTTTTCACGAACCATTTGTGCATATTATTTACTCAGAGCTACGTACGCTGTCTCATTTCTCGCGTCAGGATTGCTTTGTGAAGACACCATGTGTTCCCTAAAGTCACACATCTTCATGTTTGGCATCTCATGAATACCGCTGGTTTCACGGGATGGTGGAAGATTTTGACCCACTTTGTTAGATCTTCCCTTTTTCGCTATTCCGAATTAACCACCCAGAAATTTATCCGCAGCAATTCTAGCCCAGCCGAAGAAAAATCAAAATTCCAACAGCCTTGACCACGAAAAACGTGTTAACAAAGACTCTGCCAACGTAGCCAGAAAATGCCGCCGAAAACACTGTCCTCTCAACTCTGAGGCAAAAGTCCAATTCGCCGGGTGTTTGAAAACGCATTCGTCCGCTCGATCGATTGCCTGATCGACCGCACGGGTAGGCGATTCCCTTCAGCCCAGCTTTCAATCATCATTATATATTTTCCCTTTTTTATGTTTTTATCTGATTCCCGGATACCTCCCCTCCTGAAGCTGCTGCCGTTGTGTAGGATGCTAGCCGGGGATTAACCTGGAGCCTCCTGGAATGGATTCTTCGCCTACCGGTGCATCGCCTTGGCTGTAGTGTTCTGGATTCGAATTCCGTACTCTGCGGTCTGGTACTATTCGTCTGATGACAGGGTTCTTCTACTGGCTCTCTAGGCAAGTTGAAGCTGTCTGTCAACAGGTCAAATGGAAGCTTGGCGGATTCTGTTGCTTGTGGCTGACACATTGTTGTTCGCAGTTGGTTTGCATGGCGTACCCATACCTGCGTTCCAACCAGCACGTCGTAAATGACGCTTCCGCGCTTGCACTGGATCGTGCCTGGCGTCCATTTCGCGTGTCCACCCCGATAATCACGCACAAGTACTGGCTGACCAGGTCTAAACGAACGTTGCTTGGCACCAAACCGCCGATTAAAATCACGTTCCATCTTTAGGTTCCTTTCACCAGCTATGGACTCTGAGGATGGCCGAACTGCATCATATGGCATGCGAAGTTTTCTCTTCATCATTGCCTCTGCTGGTGATATTCCACCCGGTGTTTGTAAATTTTGTGTAGATCGATACAGAAATAGGAAGCGGTCGATCACCTCCTCTATGTCTCCCTCCCTCCTTGATTTGAGGAGAGCGCGTTTGAATGTATCCACAAACCTCTCTGCTTGGCCATTCGATTGTGGGTGGAATGGTGGAGACCGCACGTGTTTGATGGCGCAACGTTGGCAGAATTCCGTGAATGTGGCCGAAGTAAACTGTGCTCCATTGTCCGTCACCAATGTTTCAGGGCAGCCGAACCTGCTGAAGATTTGTCGCAACCTAGAGACGGTTGCGCTGGTTTTCGTGCTTCTCATGAGGAACACTTCGGGCCACTTGCTATAAGCGTCGACCACTATGAGAAAGTTCTGGCCATTGATTGGGCCTGCAAAGTCTACATGAACACGACTCCAAGGTTTAGTTGGTTTAGGCCATGAGCGGAGTTCAGTCTTTGGCGGTGCCCTTGAGGCGGTAGCGCAGTTGCCACAACTTTTAGCTAGCTGCTCTAGCTTTCTGGTCATCTCTTCTGTCGACGATGATGAATGTACTGGGTCGGTTTGTACTGTATTGCAAATCTGACTCATTGGAGCATCAAACAGTTGTAATTTTTCCATCCAGTCAAGTCCAAGGAGGTTCAAGTTTGGTCGATCAGACAAGTAGCAGGTTCCGACCTTTTCCACTCCGTTGAATGCAATTTTGCAATTTATTTCTCCGACCAACTTCAGCACTCCACCGGATGCATTGTGAGCGATTTTGTTGGAATCAATCATTTTCGGCTTCTTTATGTGCTTCCAAGTGTTCTTGGAAATGATCGTTATATCTGATGCCGTATCGAACTGCAGCCGGGTTGGGATTCCGTTGATAAGCACAGTGATAAATCGGCGGCGTGTTTTAGAATCGCTGTGAAACGTAGCAATCACCGATAGTGATTCTGCGTCAGGTTTTCTGAAATTCTTCCTTCGGTAGGACTGCTTCACATTTCTTGGCCGGGACTGATGGCAAAAGTCTTCCTTGTGGCCGCGTTTATGGCACTTATCACAAATATGACGCTTGAATGGACAGTATCGTGCGAAATGCCATTCACCACATGACCAACAAGGTGTAGGCGGCTTGTTCGGCTTTCTGTTGAACGCCTTATTCGAGCCAGGCTTTCTTGCTTTTTGCACAGCATGAACAGTATCGGCAATGGTGGGGCAACTCTGCTCAATCATAGCCGTGTCGTGTTTCAAGGTAATTAACCGTTTGCATTCGCCTACAAGAGACTTCAATGTCAAATCTGGGTCTTGATCCAACTTAGCAAGGAGCCGAGTGCGGATTTCCGCGTCGCGTGGAGACTGTAAAGCACTGACAAATATAAGACACTTAAACTGGTCATCCGTCAAACAGCGTAACTTGAAACGTTCACATTCACGGTTAACCATGTCTGCTAGTGCCCCATAATCGTCTGTATCACGCTTTACAATTTTTAGACATTGATAGCGAATGCTAAACAATGATGTCGACTCACCAAAAATTTCTTTGAGTGTTGCCACTGCTTCGTTGAAAGTGATGTCCTTCGGCTCTTTGGGCAATATGTGGTCAAGGAATCTTGTATGTTCATTAGTTCCGAGCTTGCGGAGCAAAAGGCGCACTTTCCATGAATCATCTTGACGGCTGAAATCCGTCTGGAACATATCCTCCCAACGTTTGAACCACGCCTCGAAAGTGGATTCGGAATCAGCATCATAATGAAATTCAGTGATTGAATTCGTAAGAAGATCAAGTGAAACAGCCTGCGTGTCCCGTGTAGCTGCTCCGTTTGATTGTACGTTTAAGCACTGCGTTAAACTTTCAATCAGTTTCATTTGTGCTTCCATCTGGGATTGTTGCTGAAGAAGCAGCTTTTGAAAATGTTCGGCAGAAAAATTTGTAACATTTCCGTGCTTGTCCGTCGCCATTGTTAGATCTTCCCTTTTCGCTATTCCGAATTAACCACCCAGAAATTTCTCCGCAGCAATTCTAGCCCAGCCGAAGAAAAATCAAAATTCCAACAGCCTTGACCACGAAAAACGTGTTAACAAAAACTCTGCCAACGTAGCCAGAAAATGCCGCCGAAAACACTGTCCTCTCAACTCTGAGGCAAAAGTCCAATTCGCCGGGTGTTTGAAAACGCATTCGTCCGCTCGATCGATTGCCTGATCGACCGCACGGGTAGGCGATTCCCTTCAGCCCAGCTTTCAATCATCATTATATATTTTCCCATTTTTATGTTTTTATCTGATTCCCGGATACACATTAGCTGACCCAACATCGATCTCCCGACTCTCCCTCCACGTCGTTACGCAGCTGTGGCTACGGCCATCACATTTGACGACCTTACGCCTGGCTATCCATCGCTCTTAGATGCGGACAATTCGCGACTACAGCGTAAAGGCATTTCCGACTCTCCTGTGACCTCCACAGTCTAAAGGACGGATCAGCCAGTCACAGGTGAAGATACCTGCAACTGTGGCGAGAACTGGAGCACCGAAGGCTTCAGGCACACTAAACTCAACGGTCTGCAAAACAAGGGTTAAAAAGTCTCTAATATCTAAACCAGTACCAATGCTTTCTGCATCCCAGCTAGAATTGGTTCGAGACAGAATGACGCAGCTAGAACTTCCGATCAAGGCAAGCCCAGCACACGGAAAGCAGCAATGCCTGATGGAAACAAGCGCCCTACACGTGGACGACGTGAAGGCAAGCTAAGCGCTCCGGAATCCTTTATGAAGCCACTAGCTGAAAGAATACAAGACGATGAAGTACTCCTAAGGCACTTGGTTTCTCTTCTGTTTGATAGCGGCGAAAAGGATAAGTTTTCTCAGCAGTTCGCCTTGAGGGAAAGCGAAAAGAATCAACCAGCTTCTATCCCCACGACGATGTTTTTCAGAATGCGGGAGCGTTCAGCTTTCTCCGAGGACGGAACTCAGGTCCCAAGGGTGAAAGTTTTTCCGTTCTGAGAGATCGCTCCCTAGAAGATCGGGACAAATAAGGAAGGCAGCAAGCAAACTACGAAGCCGTAGAGCAACTGGTGAAACTACCTTGTACATAGCGGATTTTCAGTTAAAGCAGAGAGTTCAGGGTTCGCTCTGGAAGCCACATCACGTGCTACTTCGGATTTAGCAACAAAATCGAAGCACGAACTTCAAGCGCTGTTTGCCACTATTCGCAACCGACGGAAAAATTGGACCAGGTACGTGGCATTTATTCAAATTTCTTTCGGAACCAGCTGGCAGGCACGGCTCCTGGCTCGCTGCAGACATCTTCGACGCCAAGTTCTACCTTCCATGATACCAACGTTTCACGCTGATCTTTATGGAACAGGGACTGGTAGCAGCGTGGTGCACTACTGGAGTAAGAACCTTAATGTTAGCTTTGTAGAAGCCGTCAGCGCCGCTGGTGTTTGTTTTGAGCTGCTCTCGTGCAGGATCAATGATGACTTCAGACCTCTTGTGGTTGGCCTTGACTACAAGGCCCCGGAAGATTTATGGCGCCACTGTGCTAGGCGTTATGAAACCGCATTGCAAACCCAGGGAGTTGTTTATGTTTGGTGAGTTCAGTGTCCTAGATGTCAATTGGAGGCTAATACATCGCCGCCTTCATGCAGAGTTCTTTGACGCTAGCTATCTTGAAGCTGCCCTCAAGAAGAATATATTTTAGCAGATGACATAGTCCACTCATCTTCTTCTGGCCCTACTGCGCTTTCATGATACTGTGCTTACTCCGGCTCAACCTGACATATTGGAATTGACCCTTCTACAGCCCACGGATACAACCGACCATTGTACGATCTCCTTACTATAGAAGAAAAACTACACATCCATGCCATAAGTTGTGCACTTCGTCGCAACTAGTGGCATAAGGATGCAAACAAGTCAGGAGCGGCAGCAAGTAGGATAGTTCCACCCCGCCTGAAACTCGACGCTGTTTGGAAGGATTTACGCTACAAGTAGAAGCTACGTATTGTAAAGGTCGTCTTATTCCATGGCAGCAGGACTCTTTTCATGATTCCATTGATCTACAGAGCAGACAGGGCCACCACAAAGTAACGACGAAAGGAATGAGACAAATCCAAACCTACCCGCATTGACGCTGACTACTCCAAATACAAAGCCGTCCAGAAAGTTTGCTCCCTATATAAACGTAAAATTGTCATCGATATAAGCATAACTTTGCAAAACAATCCTTAACTAGGCAAAAGCTATTCTTCTAGGTTAACGAAGCCCCTAATGACGGTAGGGGAGAACTTACTTTGTCTACCAACGAGCCAGGCATTATATTCTAGGATGACGATTCTAAAGTTGAGCTCTCAGCTTTATAGTCTGCTAAACGTAGACGATGGAGCACATACTGGCAAACAACCACTTACTCACACCTCTCTTACCTTTAGAGGGTGTCCATACGTAGATGCAGGTGATACCTCAAAGCTGCTACTTGAGCTGAACTCAGGTTCATCACCAGGCCCAGGCGGGCTACACCACTGTTGCTCAAGATCGTGGCAGCATTTAAAGCTCTCCAAGTTGTCAAAGTTTTCGGCTCACCCTCAAAGCTGCTAGGCTACCTCTCGCCTGTAAGATGGGTGGAATCTGCCAAGACTCTGTTATCTATCAGCAGCATAGCTAGGCGTCGGTCGCCTGCGAGCCAATAGGAAACCTCATAAATTTTGCCATCCATCGACATTGAGAAGATGTGAACGTCATTTCGTCCACTCTGCATGGCTTCCGAAGGGGACGTTCTTGCAGCACCAATCTGCTTGTCACAAGCGAGAAGTAGGCAAAGTTGGTGTGCACAGGAAAGCGCTTAGATGTGGTATTCATCGACTTTAGAAGTGCTTTGACAGAGGCCCTCGTTAGCAACCACTCGCTAAGCTTGGCGAAACGGATATAATAATGTAGTCCTACTAAGGGATCAATAACTGCTTGAAAGGACGAAACACGCACGACAGCAAAAGTTACCCACGCATTCCCAACATGTTTGCCACGAGGTATTTCACAAGCCTTCTTTCTCGAACCGGAGCTGTTCAATTATTACATCCGAGACCTACCAAGTATGTTAAAAACTGACTCACTGGTCCATGCAGAAGGCCCCAAGCGATTGTCGAAATTGTCCATCCTCGACGACGCCGACCGATTTCCGAAAATGCTAGATCCACTGCACACCTGGTATATCCATTAAAGTTCACCTGTGAACAATGATAATTGCTGCTTCCTTTCCCTCGGTGTTGCGGACCCACTGGGCTTTAAAAACCTAGGCTTGTGCCTACTCTAGACTGCCACTCAAAAGGGACCTGGGTCTATAGTCTCCAGCGAGCTTATAACTACCGATAACCTTAAATACAACTGCTGCGGCGAACAGGATGTGTGGTATTATAAGACGATCATTCACTAGAAGGATGCCGCAGATATTCTGGCTTCTCTTCACCTTCTATAACCGTCCAACCCTTGAATTTGGACTTCCGGCCATAGCCCTTTTTGGAAGCATGAAAGTGACCGGATGGAAAAGATCAGCAGCGCTGCTCAACCTTTGTGCTGGGGTTACGCGAGCACCCTATCCCGCCCTACGCCAGTAGACGAACGTATTCCCTTCAGTCTATCGCTGACGTGGCGGGGATCTCACATCTATTTGGCGCAATTTACTAGGAGAAATGGGAAAAGCGTTAGGCGCTATTATAACCGTGACTTGGCAGTTCCACACAAGGATACAGTTTGTAGCTGTTTAAAAGAAGGAGGCTAAAAGTCCGTGCAGACGTTATCCTCTCTACTCAACTAGTACAAGCTTGTAACCCACTGCAAGACCCTATATTCAATGCGCAGTCAGAAGCAGGCTTCAAACATTTGTCAGACACTCACCTACAGATTACTTCATGATACTGGATGGCTGATATTCCATCCTGAAGGATGCAACAACCACCACACCTGCAATACTTGGTAGACTAGAGGGTGCGTCAGCTAACAGAAACCACCCTACTGCACTCACATACTTAATGAAATCATTGAACCTGTCTCGATTTTGTATCTCCTCTGTATAGACAGCTACCAACTGTGACCTCGTGTGGAACTGCAAAGCCACAGCTAAAGAAACGGTCTTAACTCGTTTCCCAATGCTCCTCATGAAGTACGTCTAGTATGTATCCGGTCTCCGCCACGTAAGCGCTAGCCAGAAGGGAATACGTTCCTCCACTGGCGTTGGGGGATGAGGTGTTCGTGTAGCCTCAGAACAAACGTTGAGGAGCGCTGCTGATCTTTTCGATCTGGCCACTTTCATGCTTCCATAGAAGGGCTATAGGTGGAGGTTTAACTTCAGATATTGGACGGATATGGAGGGTTAAGGAAAGGCTGAATATCTGCAACGTCATTCTAGAGGATGATCTTCTAATGATACCCTAAATCTTATTCGTCGCATCATTTCCATTTAACGTCACCGGTAGTTTTGAGATCAGATCCTTGTTCTGAGCAGCAGTCTTGAGTAAGCATACACAAATGTGACAAATGCCGCAGTTGCGCAGCTCTGCCAAATAAAAACTAGTTTATTCTCAATAAAACGGGACGCACCAGTACAAGCATGGTCAAGTGTTTGCAAGCGCCACAGAAACACTATGAGCGAATGTACACCAAACGACAAAGGTAGGTGTTGACAAAATACGTGGCTCAAAAATGGTACATAATTTTCGACTAAGAAGGTTGTAAAGAAGACGGGCGGGTGCATTGGTGTCAGAGAGAAAAGTTGTGCCTAATCGCGGTAAAATCTCTAGGTGTTTCAGTTAGGGAAATATTGGGTGGTAGTTCGAACATTTTCGGAGATTGATCTCCATTGTTCCCTGGGCACAGGAACCCGATGTAATGTTTGAAACCGATGGTGGAAGAAATTTAGCAAAGTTGTTCACCTACAGTTGTGCTAAAAATATTTGGTATATTGAGATCTTGCCAGTGTGTAGATGTGGGCAGTTACTTTATAAAGTGCTGGGTCACATCCGCCATGTCACAATTTTGTTCAACCGACATTTGTGGCTGTTTATATGAAGAACGCCTGCCAGGCGAAAACCCACCCCATCCAGGAACACTGTCAAAGACCACAATTGGTAAAGCAGTGAGCTGCTGGCAACGCTACACTTGGAACCATTTTCAGCTCGGCTAAACGCAGCCATGATCCACCAAGTATTCCGTTGGCTGAGCGAAAGGCTGATTCAGGAGTGACAATTAACGGTTGGAACCAGCGTAACTGGACGGAGAAAGCGCTAGGGAGAGTGGTATGA